CCAGAATGTGAAGGAATCAAGTGAAGATCTATATAATGTGAATGCATGGGAACTGATGCTATACTGAAAAGAAAGGCATAGAACTGGAAATGTGACCTGGGTGAATGAATAGAAAAAACTGTGAGGATGGGATGATAGTAATGTGGAGAAAGATGTCTGAAAACACAGACCAAGATTATCCTCAGGCCAGGCTGAAATGACCAACAGAGAAACACAAATTTACAATCCCATACTATTTGACAATCAAGAAACAATACAGAAAAGATGTAGATAATTTAGGGGAAGACAGAAAGGAGGGAGAGGAAATTCAGGACTGGGAACCCTCATGAGGGGTTAATTCTCACATAATTCCAACACGACCCCCCTCCACCCCCAAGAATTCAAAGGTATGCAGAATCAGATGGGGAAAACTGGTTGGGACTAAAAATGAAGGGGAGAAAAAGATAGGGTGACTAGACTGCCAAGTAAGATGTTAGATGGCAGTAGGATGAGAAGTGAAGGACAGATGACATATGGCACATGCAACAGGGAGTGGGTGAAGGGCCAGAATGAGGTACAGAACTGGTGAGTTGAGTTTGGGATAATCAAGAAAATCAAAAATGGGAGGAAAGATTGATGATTGGCAGCTGAAGTCCATGATACCAGGGAATCAGGGACACCACCAAATTCCTTTAGAAGAAGGAAAGGGGAAAACAAAGGTTCCGGAAAAAGGTGAAAGAGAGACAGACTTGAGATAGGAGGGCACCTTCCCAATAGGTTCCAACAACAGAGATTTGGTTTGTTTAGAATTTTGCACAAAACTACACGAGGGCTATCTGCACAAGCCATTCCTAATTTAGCAGTGACAGATTAGATGAAGGGCAGCTAGTCAACACCACCCACCACCAACTCTTGGGCTACTGTTTTACTAATGAATACATAATAATGCTCCCACAGCTGAAAGGGTGAGCATGTTTGGTGTGACGGTCCAACAACAGAGGAACCAGAGAAGAGAAATAGTAGAGGAGGTGGAATGGGCTATGGAAGCAAAATAGAAAGTTCATGAGGTGAACACAGAAAGGCCTGTAGACATATAGTAAAGAATGGAGATGTACCAAGGAAGGGTAGTAAGAAATTCATGGAGATGGGAAATATGAGTTTTAGAAATGGAAGAAGCAGGCATTGAATCCAATCCCTCAAACTGGCAAAGGTGGCTTCGAAGACTGGGAGTCCAAGAATGATAAATGCAAATGATTAAAAGGGAGAACAAAGGAAACAGTTAGGCAGGGATTGGTTGTTTGGAGTTTAGTGGTGCAAAGCAACAGGGCTATTTGCACATTAGGCAGGGAGTACAAGCCATAAAACAGTGGGAGAAAAAGTGAGCCAAAACAAGAAGTGCTTGTAGTGATATAACACGTGAGGGAGAAAATGAGCAAATCACAAGGAAAGGCTTGTAAAATCAAATGGGAAGAGTCAAAAGACAAGGAGTAAGTGAAATAATTGTATATACCCGAGAAATAAGGTGTGAAAAGTCATAGAAAGTCTGAGGGTCTCATTCATTAGGTACAGTAGTATGCAATGCAAACCTGGAGGTGGAAATTGGTGCTCAAATTTGTCTTCATCAGTTTAAGGTATGAAATTGGGGAAGGAATTATGTGGCAGGTACAGAAGCAGAGAATCCTAGCTGCATAATGTACCCCACCACATGATGAAAGATGGTCATCATGTCTTCCACAGGAAAAGAACTTCCAGCACAAATGACATTAACTTGTTCTGTGTGAGGAGATTCTTCACTCACATCAGCTTTAGAAATATTTACATTAAATTATAAACTTATAATGAGGTTAGTATATTTAATCAAATTGAAATTTGAAAACTTTGAAAAAAAAATCACAAATCCAAGCAAAATTATAAACATTTCAGTGCACTACAGTGCTGAGGGAAAGAATGAGGATTCAAGAACATGAATGTGGAGGGAGTCATTGTGCATGGAGGTGTGTTACATTCCTATTGCTAGAGGATTCTGCTGCATTATGACATCATCATTCAGTGGCACAAATTCACATTTTCATACGAAATTAGGTGAGAGTTTTCAAAAGGCTAGTGGCTTGCAAATTTCTTTGGCAAAATGCATGAACTCAAGAGAAAAAAGATGTATGTGTATGGAGGTATAATTTTGGAATCTGCTCTTTCTCCTGGTTATGAACATGTACTTAAGACTGGTAGATGTGAGTAAATAAATAACATCAAAAGAATGAAGAGATGGGGGAGGCTTTTCTGGTAGGTTTGTTAAATATATATCAATATCTCAGCAAATCAAGAAGGTTGGAGGTTCTGATTTTATACTCTAGCTTGTCAATAAACAAGGTGTGAATTTTTACTTGGTCAAGCACTATCAACATTATATGGTAGAAGTAATAAAATGTAAACTGAACAACTTATAGTGCATTTGTATCTTATCATAAGAGTGACTATTGTAGGCCAGGGAATTCATCATTTTTAGGGCAGGGCCAAAAAATAATTCACTGGAGGGCACTAAGGCCACAGTACACATTAATTTTAACAGAATAGAAATTAGTTTCCCAATTAGTTTAGTAAATAAGGGGGCTTGGGAAGCTAGCTTATCTTTCCAGATTATGTTTATCAAGTAGATAAGTATTAACTTTAACCAATGAGACTTACAAAATAACAATACATCAGCTTTAAGATAAAAAAAATGGGGTCTCGTGCTAATCTAAAATGCCCCGAGACCTTAATAAGATTCCTAGTTTTCGCCCCCTCCTGACCCCAAATGATGTTTCACCTGAAAATCATATACAGCTTTTAGGCACCACTCACCACTTCTTAATTTGTCTAACTTTGAGAAGGATCAAACAAAATCCCTGGGAGTAGAAGCATTTTAAAGGTTTCCAGGATTTGAACTCTTGTGACCTTACAAATCAGGAACAAATTTCACTTACACTTAAAGAGAACAAGTGCTTTATAAGATTTCTAGCTTTTGCCCCTCCTGCCCCCTAATGACCTTTGACCTAAGAATTGTATACAACGTTTATGCATCTCTATCCATATATTACTTTTTCTAACTTTGAGAATGATCAGACAAAATCCCTGTGAAGAGAAGTTTAAAGACCTAATTTCTACCAACAAAATTCAGCCCTAACGTATCTGACTACTTGACCAAGAATGACAAAAATCAGTTTCATGGTCTCCGAACAGAAGCCCTTTGAAAATTTTGATGGACAGACAGATAGATAGAAAGACACAAGACCATGACATAAGGTCAACATTCTACTTTCAAACAATACTACTACTAGTATTTTTTCACATAAATTCTAATGTAGGCTAGTGCCGATAAACAGTAAACTTGACCTACACTATAGTATAGCACATGGTCATAATCTATAAATTACTTGTCATCACACACTGCATTGCACAACTCACTACTTATAATTCAGTAATGTTAACAATAGCTAGCTAATTTAGTAGGCCTAAGCCTTTGGTGACTTTGCACATAAAGTTCATTGAGCCGAATTACTGACGCATCCTATTTCCTTTCATTTTCTAAACAAGAGAGAATTCTCAATAGCTGCAGCACTTGAAATTCTTTTAGGGAGGATTAGAGTAAATTAATCTACAAGACCTTTTTTTTATTAGCTATATTTTTGTGCACTAGCACAAGCATATACCTGATTCAATTTTTTCACTCATCAGGATCTCTACCAGCCTACC